ACCAGCAGAGACAGCTGATCTGAACAGGGGAGAGCTCTTAGACACCAGACCGACAGCTGGGAGACCAGTATGGGACTGATCCAGACCCCCTGAGTGTGAGAGTCATTGAGGAGACCTGGGCAACCTTGGGGCTCTGGGCAGTAGATCAGTGTTTATCCCTGGCATACAAATTGACTTCGTGTGTCCATAACACAAAGTGGGATACTCTCTCAGCCTGGACTCTTAGGAGAGTGCCTGGACCCTACCCTGAGTGAAATGACAGACTCTAGATATCCCCTATGTGGAAGGAAGTGGGGACCGGGTGGGAGGCTGGGGGGAATGGTGGGGGGATGCAGGAGGAGGGAAGGGAGAGGGAACTGGGATTGACAAGTGAAGCAAGCTATTTAAAATTAAAGTAATAAAAAAGTTTGAAAATATACGTAGGCTTGGAAGAGAAAAAGAAACAGGATAATGGCTGGGTGTGGTGGGACAAGCGTTTAATTTCAGCACTCAGGCAGAGGCAGAGGCAGAGGCAGAGGCAGAGGCAGAGGCAGAGGCAGAGGCAGAGGCAGAGGCAGAGGCAGAGGCAGAGGCAGAGGCAGAGGCAGAGGCAGGTGAATTTCCACAGAGAAACCTTGTCTCAGAGAAAAAATAAATAAAAGTAAAAAAAATAGAGTAATAAAAAGGCCACGTAAAAATGAAAAGTAGAAAGAGAATCTGGATATTGTATGCTATTGTGATGTCTTTCTGTTGTCCAATTGCTAAAGAAGAAACAACTGCTAAAATACACTTGATTATCAATGCTCCTGACAATTTACATGTTTTAAAAATGCTTCAACTTCTAAATTTACATATGAGGACAGGCTACTTGGGAAAAAAATTTCTGCTTGCATTTCCACAGAAAATGGAAGACTGTGGATTCGTTCCATACTTCTATGGTTTGATGAAGCAAGACCCCCTGAAGCAGTGGCCCAGGTGATTCAACATCTAAAACAGCTGCCCGGGAAGAATGAACGCATGAGGCTGGGTCCTCAGTTAGATAAGACCTTACAAAAATATATATTAGTAGTTGTGGGTTAAAAATTAAGTCAGAGCTAAGCACTAAGAAACCATAGCAAATGGTCAAGAGCTTTATAATTAATATAGCGTCTCATGTGCTATTTGGGGGCTGAGACAGTGGCAGGACCCAGGCAGCAGGTGGGAAAGAATACATGTTACATATAGTCCTTTCTTCCCAGGATCACATGGTGACTCTCCACCCTTGACTACATTTCCCAGAATCCTCCTCGACTCCTAGTCCCACCTATCTTGCTTCCCTGTTGGCCAACAGTGCTTTATTTATAAACATATACACAGAAGGACTTCCCCCATCAGTAGCCAATAGCTGTCTATTTGGATTTATAACCCACTTAACAAGAGCGAAGTCATGCCTGGTACTGGAAAGTTAACCAACTACCTAGGGCTAATGAAAATATGGATCTTAGAGGAAAAATTGCTATAACCATTTTACTAAACCAGCATAATTCATAAATGCATTCTAAATACTTATCCTTATACACAAATAAATGTAGCTCTCACACCTCACCAAGGAAATTTCTTTATGTAACAGATGTACATCATTATATAAATTCACAACTGGTAAAAACGCAAGACCTGACTGTAGAGTGCCCAGCTTCAACCGATAGTGCTAAAAGACAGCCCCTCCTTCTCAAAGTCAAGGAACATTACATTTGGGTTGGGGGCAGGGGTAGAAAGATCGTAAGGTCCAGAGGACCAGGAAGTCTTCTACAAAATTGTGTCTTCCCTGGTGCTAGATTTCTTGTTAAGCCCATAATGGCTCCCTCTATCAAGGTATCTTTTTCCTTGCACTTCTCTGTTCTTCCCCCAACTCGATCTTCCTGATCCCTCATGTTCTCCTCCGCCCCTCCCTTTCATTCTACCTCCCTCCCCCATCTCACTCCCCCCTCTTGTGCTCCCAATTTACTCAAGAGATCTTGTTCCTTTCCCCTTCTCAGGAGACCATGTCAGTCTCTCTTAGGGTCCTCCTTGTTTCCTAGCTCCTCTGGGGCTGTGGACTATAGGCAGGTTATCCTTTGTTTTATGTCTAATACCCACTTATGAGTGAGTACATACCGTGTTTGTCTTTCTGGGTCTGGTAAACCCAGTTTCTTAAAATGTAACAGTATTATCAAAATAAATGTTGCAACAGCTGGGTTGTATTCTCCTTCATTACACTGGCCTTAAACAAGATGCCATAGAGGGCATAGACAGGAGTTCTTGGAATGGCAGCAGCTGAACTTTACAACAGTCTGCTGTTAGACAACAGCTGCAACCCTCACAACTAAGACCCACAAGGATACTTGCTTGACCACGTTCCTATCAGCATTATTCATAATAGCCAGAACCTGTAAACAACCTAGATGCCCCTCAAATGAAGAATGGATAAAGAAAATGTAGTACATTCACACAATGGAGTATTTCTCAGCGGTAAAATCAATGACATCGTGAAATTTGCTATTTATTTTCATGTTTCATACACTACTATACAGATACCATAACTCCTTTTGTATAATTTACTATGCTGTCTTAATATGAGTTTTCTTAATGGGTAGTTTGTCCCACTAATTCTTCAAAGAAACCAGACATCCATTATATTGAACTAAACAGTACTACATTATAAAGGTACGTACTTCATATTCTTAAAGTCAAAATTAATATTTTCTCTTTGCAAATGATGATGCTTATTAGTATCTAATCACTGATTGTGGGAGCACCCTGTCATACAGCAAATTCAAGGAAGTAGGGAGGTAGCTGCAAGTCGAAGTAAATGCTGCCAAAGATTTTATGATTTGACGTAAGGCTTATACTGCATAAAAGATCACTGAAATATTTGAAATGTTTACTATAATTCATCTTTACATGGTCTTAGTTATATAACTGTTCATGCTATTTTCATGGAACAAGCTTTGGGTCTTTGTTCATTGTAAGCATGTATGGTGCTTTATGAAAGCATGCAAGATTATTTCAGCACAATCCACATTTTAGGACAGCTATTTCTCAAAAGTCATCCCAGTGCATGTGTCAAGATCTCATGTCATGTGTGAACTTCAACCTGCAATATCTGAAATTGCTCCATGTCTATTCGGTCGTTAGGATTTTTTTTTAGGATTTATAAGTAATTTAATGTTTCTTTGCACTCTCTTCACCACCAGACTTAGAAGCTCAAGTCTACTCACCTAGCTAGGAATCAGCATCAATTTCTGACTTTCTTCTTTTGTGATTTGTCACCTAATAATGTTGATTCTACAAGCGTAACTCATTTAACTTTTCTTTTAGTGGTCTTGTTTTCAATCAACCATGCTTTCTCTTTTTAGACTTTATATATCTTGAATATTCAGGAAAGATTTTCCCACACAGGAAGTTTCCTACTGCTGAACAATTCTGTTTTCTTTTTGACATTTCTAATGAGGTTTTAAAACAAAGGACAATTTTCATTCCTAGTACTGCTGTGGGATTATATGACATACAGACAACAGATACACATCTGTCTTAATGAATCGAGATGTGACTGTGGAAATTTACATCTTTCTTTGTTTTCTCCAAATAAATAAGCCAATATAAAGGTTGCTTTCTCACTCTTAACCAACCAACAGCTGTTCCAGCAGTAGTTGGCACGAATTGGTATCCTTGCTGACATTTTTAGAGGCATAGCCAAAGGGTAAACGAACCTACAATTTAGCATAGACTATTTCCATGACAGGTGTGCCTACAAAAGAAGTTCAGGATCATTTGAGAGGATTTGTATAGGAAACACAACACAGCTGCTGGGACTTGCTAGTCCTGAGGAGAGGCTCTTCTCTATCCACAACAGTCAATTTGATCATTTTTAATAGCCATAATCTACATTAAATGAACAGCAGCTCCTTTTAGAAAGAATAGAAAGTAATAATGTAATTAATAGAATATAGTGTAATAGAAAATGGGCTTGTGTTGCTACTACAAAATAGAAAATCTCTCACATTGCATGATGTGCATTATCATGCTATACCTGTACCAGGAATATGAATGGAGCAATTCATGTGTAAAGATACCTTTAAAACATGAAGCTTTCTTGTGAAAGGAATATCATTTTTAAAGCATAAGCAGGAAGGATTTTTCAACGAGGAGTCTTTTTCTCAGTGTAATGTTGCATACAAACTGAAGATTGCCTCTTCTATTGAATTGTATAATGAAAAATCAATCAGTTTAATGGTTGACAAACTTTGACATTCCAATAAAAATGTTGCTGGTATTTTCATAAAGACCTGTAGGCAAAACGAGATTCCATGACTTTAATTTATGCAACAGTAAATGTCTGCCAAAACATTGTACAAATGACTGTATAATGAGGCAATAATAACCAAAGGAATCAAGGGAAAGGAAACAGAAGCCAAAAATCCTCAGAATTTGCAGATTACAGAATGTATCAATGAAACTGACAAGGGTTAAAGAAACGAAAAGCAAGAACAACAACAACAAACTTCTACTCTCATATCAGTTGATTTTGTTTCAGAATAGAATTTTAGAAATAATTTGTTATATTGCCTTGACTTTTACACCTCATCCCCAATATAATTTGTGACTTATTTGCTTTCCTAATTTATTATTGGCTATCCTGTGTCTTAGATGAGTTTTTTGTGTGATTTTTTTTATGAACCAATCCTCAAAGAGCAAGAGAATTGGCAGGACTGTCAGTTGAGAATTGGCAGGACTGTCAGTATTACTCACCTCATATAAAAACCTATTGCTTTGATACTGACAGTATAACCAAACATGCTATATAGTTTATGGGTAGTCTGAATGAGACATTGTCTATTTTATTCCAGAGCTTCATGAAGCTTAAGAATATTTACAAGCAGGGAAACGATACAGGTGTCAATGGATCTAAGTTGGGAGAATATGCAAGGAGAGTGATGGAAAGTGAACACTTAACTGATTGTTTTTATTATGCAGTTCAGTACAAGAAGTGATGTTTACCTTACATGAAACATACAAACTTATTAGGGGCCAGAATTAGTTTGCGCAGGGGCCATACTAATCTTCTTTGTATCGTTCCAATTTTAGTATATGTGCTGCCGAAGCGAGCACCAGAATTAGTTTGAATAATTGATGATACAGTACTTAAATAATGGAAGTGGAAGTAAAGAGGAATTATAAATTAAAGTAGTATGATTTAATTCAAGATTTGGGAGGTAATTTAGTGAATGTTGATGTGTAGAATATAGCCATGAAAGTGAGTGGAGAAGGTAAGAAAGAGGAAGAAATCTATAAGGGAGCCATAGACCCTGTAGCTGAAGACATCATGTACTTTAGTCACAGGACTTGGAGTAATCCAGCTGAAACTACTAATTTGGAAGACCCCTCCGTGAGCACAGATCTTGTAATACATGAAGGAGCTACAGAAGCTGCCAATGAATAAAAACAACCAATAGCCCTAACCAACAGTAAAGCCTGTAAATAACAACAATGGAAAGATATCCGCAATGGTACAATACAAGTTTACTTTGGGGATAACAAACAGATCTAATTGCACTTACATCTTATGCATTAAGAGGGAATTCATGTCTGGTACCATAAACCTACCAACCATCCATAGCTGAAGAGGTCTTGACTCTAGAGAAGAATCTACTACTACCATTTCCTAATGTAATGTAATTCCTAACTAATTCCAAAAATTATCCTTATCTCCACAGGTAAGTATGTATTTCACCCCTCATCAAAGAAGCTTCTTTTGTAACAAACAGAGATTATTACAGAGACTCACAAATGGCCAAAATGCAAAGAATAGGTAGCGTGGGCTGCCCAACCGCAATTGGTACTTCTACAATGCAGCACCTACACCCAAAGGCTCATGTAATATAGTGGTAGAGGGTGTGGACAGATTTTAAGAACCACACATGAAAGGGAGACTATTATATGATTCCAGTTTTATGATAGACCTATAAAAATTAAATTATCAAGGCAACAATTACAATTATGACTCTCCATGACTTAGAGAGGGAGATTCTAATTGTTACAAAAGAAGCTACTGTGACGAGAGGTGACATAAATACTTACCTGTGTGGATAAGGCTCAGTATTAGTGTACAGTTGGATTTTTACATATATTATCTTACATTATATTAGGTAAATGGCAATAATAGATTCTCCTCCTGAGTCTGTGGAATATTCAAGTATGGATGCTTGCTTAGGTTTATGGTACCAGACTTCAATTTCCTCCTATTGAGTGTGATTTCTGAATTTTTATAATGGTCGTATTAATTTTTATTCCCATCAGCAATGAATGAAGCTCCCTCAACCTCAACATTCCCTTAAACATTTATTGCCAGATTTATTGATAATAGCCATTCTGAAAAGGATAAGGTAGTATCAAAAATTAGTTTGAATTTGCATTTCCCTGATGACAAGGGATGTTGAGCATTTTTAAAATACTATCCATTTGTGCTTCTTCTTTTGAAAGATGAAACATACATTCATCATCCTCACTTGTTTATTGGTAGATGTTTTATTGGTGATTAATTTTCAGCCCTTAATAAATTTTGAATATTAGCTCCTGTCAGAGATATGGCTGGTAAATATTTTATTAGGCATATAACCACAGAGCTTCATATCCCACCACAAAGACACCTATACATTCATGTTTGTTGTTCTAGTTAATAGGAAATGGAATCAACTCAAATGTCTAACTGAAGAATGACTAAGGAAAATGTCATGCATACACAAAATGGAATTGTACTCAGCTGTAAATCAAATGAAATTTTCAGAAAAATGGATGGAAATGAAAAATACAATAATAGACATGACCGAAATTTAGCAAGGCAAAAAGACATTTTCTATCTTATTTGTGGTTCTTAGCCTGGAAAGCAAGAGGGGGGATGGGGAGAATGGGTGTAGATGTGGGTAAACCCTAAAGGAAACCAGGAGAGGGTAAGAACTAGGCGCTAAGAAAAGGTTAATGGGGAACTAAAGGGCACATGTGACATGACAGAGGAGGAGAAGAAACTCAGGAGACCTCACAAGGATGGGGACAGGAAGTCATGGAAGTGAGGGATATGAAAGGGGCGAAAAGAATCTACTGAAGCACAGTTTGTTCAAAAATGCCACGATGACATCTACTAATTTAAAATAAAAATAAATAGACAAATCCTCACTTTCATGATATCAGGAAATATATTCTCAAATGAATGGTAGTGAGGGTTATATATCACCATGAACATACTCAATGGCACAGAAATATAAATTGTTGAAAGGTTAAATTCTGTATTAGGTATATCCACAATAATTTTGAAGGAAAATCCATGTTAAATAAAAATTAATAATATAATGATCATGGTTGATAAGTTGTCAGAGATATGAGATGAGCAAGATGGGCTGGAGAGATGGCTCAGCTGTTAAAGGCTAAGCTCACAACCAAAACTATAAGAAATTAGCAAGAAACAGTCATGAGATAACAGTCATGAGTTAAGCAATGATACCTGTGAATCTACATTTCATGTTTCTTTAGTGAAGTATAGGAAGATGCAGGCAACTCCAAGTGGTTAGGGGATCAAGAGAGGGATGATTCTCTAGAGGAAACACGGAAAGTTCTTGGGAATCTGCTTTTATTAGATTATGTTGGTCAAATAAGAACAGTATAGAAAATCTATTAGTTTTATGGGATTTTCTTTTCTACCAAAATAAATTTTAATCTTGTCACTTCCATTTGACATCTATGTAGTGTCATAGGTATACTTTTTTCCTTTTTTGACCGTAACAACTACTAATTTAACAAATATTAAGTCATACATTACTGAATTCATCGAGACCTTTCCATAAATGCATGTATTATGCACTGATCATAGACATCCACCCTCTTTCTAACCTCTAATCCCTTCTAAACTGGAGAAACATAGTTTTTGAATTGCAATATTACAGCAATAAGACCTATCTGAAGAAACTGTGTGAATCAGTGATTACATAGTTAAGTGCTTAGTACATGGCTATGGCCTTGACTGTTGCAATTATTCCTATCAGTTATTATTATTATCCTTGTCTTTTACATAAGAACTTCAATAGTGTGAAAGGCCTGGGGATTATGAGATAAAAAAGCACAGGGCACTGGAAATAAATTTCCCAAAGTTTTGAATTGGTCCATTTTGATCTTTTAATATAATTAATGGATAAGGAAACCTCTAGAGAAAGTTTAGAAGATATTAAGTAATATAAAATTAAAAGCCTGTGATTTAATTTAATTGAAGATTCTATTATGGAAAAATAAGTAAAGAGTGTTTATTAATATTAATTACATCACATCTGAGTAGTCATTAAAATATTTCTTTAATAAGAACTGAGATTTTATAAGTGAAAAGTCTAGACTTAAAAAAACACATCTGGCAATATAATTGACACAAGATCTTTTTTTTCAATTTTTCTTTTTTTTATTATTAAATTTTTTTATTTTTAAGTTTATATTTAGATTAGAAACATGGTTGGTTCACAAGTCAGTTCCAGGTCCCTCTCCCTTTCCCTCCCCTCCTCCCGTGCCCTCCCCCAACTCCCCCATTATCCCCTCATTTCCCCAGGGAGGGTGAGGCCCTCCATGGGGGTGTCCATAGACTGTCATTTCATCCAGGGCAGGGCCTAGACCCTCCCCCCAAGAGTTCAGGGTGAGAGTTCATCTCACATTGTTGGATGGGAGTGCAAAGTCCATGTGTATACTTGGGATGAATACTGATCTACTGCCCAAGGCTCAATAGATTACCTAGGCCTCCTCACTGACACCCCCATTCAGGGGGTCTTGTTCAGTCCCATGTTGGATTCCCAGGCATCAGTCTGGGACTCAAGAGTTAACCCATGTCAGGTCAGCTGTTTCTGGGGTTAAAGCAGCCCAGTCTTAACTCCTTTGGTCATCAGTCCTCCCTCTCTGTTACTGGATTTCTTGAGTTCAGCTCAGTACTTAGCCGTGGGAGTCTGCCTCTTCTTCCATCAGCCACTGAATGAAGTTTCTGTTTCCCAGACTCTCTGGCCATGGGATTGACACAAGATCTTAAACCCTACTAATAACAAAAGCTATTATTTTGATGTCTTCTAGATTTTTAAAAACCTACATGAAAACCTTTAATAAAAATTAGGCCCAATTCCCCGTACTGCTTGTGGTGATTTCAAAGAGTAATGTCCCCTATATACTTATGTATTTGAACACTTGCCTCCCAGCACATGGTGCTCTTTGGAAAGTTAATGAAACGATTAGGAGATGGAGCCCTATTAGAGGAAGTATGTCAGGGGGATGCCCTTTGATGGTTTACAGCTTTGTCCTGCTTTTAGTTTTCTCTGTCTCTACTTCCTGTGTTTTGATGAAAATGTGACAAGCCAGCTTCCTGTTCCTGACACTATTTTTTTTCCTGAATGTCACCAGGCCTTGCCTGCCGAAATGTCTCTATCCCTAGTGGGACTGTAAGCTAAAATAAATCCTTCTTTCCCTAAGTTGGTTTTTGTCAAGGTATTTTATCACAATAACAGAAAAGTAACAAATAAACCTGCATAAAATGGAATTACTTTCCCTTGACACAAACTTTAATAATATCCTCATGCCAATAAATACCAGGTTATATTGTTACTTTGAAACTATATAGGGGCAATCTTCAGCAGGGAGACCTCCCTGCAGGATGCATTACCACTGCCACCACGCACTGGATTCTGTTCCCCCCAAGACCCATTTCACCAACCAACCCCACCCACGTCATCATCAGCTTTCACCCCCAATACCAGCAGATTCCATAGACACAGGCACAGCTCACACCATGCGGAAGAAAAGGTGAGTGACTGGCCTTCCAGTTGGACTGCCCTAACCTACCAGTGCTACGTCCCAGAGCACATCCCTTGCCCCTACCATGTCCATCTTAGCATTAACAAGGCAATTAGGCCCTGCCCCCAACACTGGTGGAACTCCATATTGTGGTGAAGTCCTTCAGCAGCTGGCCAGCAGGTGAGAAATCTGACTGCAGGCTGAACTGCCACCACCATCACCTCCTGGATTCTGTCCCCCCAAGAACCACTCTGCTACCCAACCCCAACCACCTCATCATCCTTCCTGTGGTCAGCCCTCCTCTA